AAAGATCGGTGGTTGCAGGGACTGGGGGGTGGGAGGCATGGGGAGTAACTGCTAATGGACATGCGGTTTCTTTTTGAAGTGATAAAAATGTTCTAGAATTAGCAGTGATGGCTGCACAACTTTGTGAATATACTAAAACCCACTGATTTGTATGCTTTAGAAGAGCGAATGTTATGGTATGTAAATTATACATCAACTTTAAAAAAACACCAAAATCTAACTCTTAACCTTAACCACTCGCCTTAACCACTCGGCTTAATGCCTTAACCACTCGGCTACCTCGTCTGCTCAAAATTCGAACTCTTAACATGGGGTGCTCTACTTTCTACTCTGAAAAGAGAGAAAACATGATGATGTCTTCTTCCAAGGAATCAAGTACAGATCACATGAATAGATGCGGGTAAATGAAAAAGTAAACAATGCCTCAACAAGTTTTCTAATAACTAAAAAGCACACAGACTATTCGGAAGAACCCAGACTTTGAAGCCAAGCCCTGCATTTGGCAGACATACCTACATCAACTCTCAGTAAAAATCTAACCTGAACCAAAGAAGTGGGATACATGTAACAGACTTTGCAATATTGCTCCTTCTCCTTGGAAAATTAATAAACGGGCTGGACCACTAGAATTTAGGTGGAGGGTATATCACTAAATGTAAGTTAGCAGAGCTAGAAGATCCACGCTTGTAGCCACTTCATTTTCTCCTCTTGGTAGCAGGCTATGCATTATTCTCCTAGGGCAAATTTGCTTTATAAAGAAACTTACAGCTGGGTTATTGATGGGCTTTCCAGGGATTAACTGCACACTCATAAGAATAAGAGGCTAACCTCATCCTCTTAAACTTCACACACTACAATCCTATAGATAGCTGACAGCTACAGCCTGAGGAGAAAAATAATCCAACATTTTGCTAATCCTTAAACCAATCACCTCATGCAACAATGGGGAGCCTGTAGGTCTACAACTCAATCTCTTAAGGACAGGAAGTCTACTACAGACACATCAGGAGTTTGTATTCATAGCCATCCCCTACACAAACATAGATAGTCAGACATCACAAAAGCCCCCAGACTTCTTTCGTTTCATACTGAGTTGTTTCAAAATATAGAGAATTATAAGTTTGCCTATGAAGCAGGAATATACACATCTGACCAGTAACTGCAGCTTCAAAGGCCTTGGCAGAAGTTCTATTCATGGAAAATTAAGTCAGACAAGATCCAAATAAACAAGAAAGGAAAAACAAGGTGGCCTACATTAACCCTAAATGTTCGGAGTTCCTGAAGTTCACAGGCATTGCTACGGGAAATTGCTCAAATGTTCTTACATCCAACACGTCAGCACTCGGGCAGCTATCAAATATCAGGCATTCTGTGGTATGGGAAGGGCAACCCCGCCCCGGTCATCTGGTCACCCCTTCTCTCTCTCTTTCCAATTCCATCACAATGATCTGTGCAATCCCTCAGTGCCAGCGAAAGCCTTGTTTCCCTTCCTCTTAAGGAAGCCAACGGGGTCTTATCCTCACTTTTGCTTCTCAATTTTCTCTCCATCTGTTCCCCAAATTTAACTTTTTCCTCTGTTTTGAACCTTAATTTTGCTCATCTAAAGTCAAATAGCCAACATTTCTTCACTGCTGCCTCCTTATTAAAAGTCATTCATGCACGACAACGGAATGGCAGGAGCAGAGCGTCTGGATGGGTCTAATCTCAAATACCGACACCCCATGTAACCACTAGAAAAGACAAAAGGGGAGGTGACCCGCTACTTGCAGCCATCACCCCTCATGGGCACTTAGCCAAATGGACTCACAGATCTGCTGCAGGTACTTAGAGACAAGGCAGACAGAACTGCAGTTCAAGGAGTCAGGACACCATACTGGGTAAAGGCTGCCAGTCAAGGTCTTATCCCCACAAAAGCCATGCAAGGTAGAAGGTATTATCCATCTATAGATGGTGACACTGAAGAAGGTTAACTGACTGTACAGGGTCATAAGGCTACAGAGTGGTAGCACCAAGCGTCCTACTTAAGTCCATTTGATCCTAGACCTATGCTCTGTCCAAGGTAACACAAGGCAAATGCTCTTAGAAAGATGAGCACAGAACACCATGAAGTTGGGCAGCCAGTACTCGGATGGAAGCGGACATACAATCATGCAGGGTTTGTTTTGTTTTGTTTTGTTTTAAATTACACTTGGCCAATCATTTTTTATTTTTCAATCAAAAAGCAACTGGGGCACCTGGGTGGCTCATCAAAAAGCAACCAGGCGCCTGGCTGGCTCAGTTGGTGAAGCGTCTGACACTTGATTTCAGTTCAGGTCATGATCTCATGGCTGTGAGATGGAGCCCCGAGTCATGCTCCATGCTGTGTGTGGAGCCTGCTTTAGATTTTCTCTTCCTCTCTCAAAAAAACAAAAACAACAACAAAAAACAAACAAAAACCATCTTTCTTTGGGAGTAGAGAAACACTGGCTGAGAAGAAGTACAAGGGAACTTCCTGGGGTGAAAGAGAAAACTTGCACTGCGAAAGTAGTGTGGGGTACAGGGTATGTGCACACACCAAAGTGATCTATATGTGTAAGATAGGTGCAATTCACGAGCACCAGGGTGGCTCAGTCAGTTAAGCATCCAACTCTTGATTTTGCCTCAGGTCATGATCTCATGGTCCCTAAATGTGAGACCCAAGTCAGGCTCTGCACTGAGAGCAGGGAGCCTGCTTGAGATTCTCCCCATCTCCCTCTCTCTCTGCCCCTCCTGCTCTCTCTCTCTAAGATAAATAAATAAACCTTAAAAAAAAAAACAAAAAAAAAAGATTGGTGTGGGTCACCTGGGTGGCTCTGTCAGTTGAGCATCCAACTTTGGCTCAGATCATGATCTCACAGTTCATGAGTTTGAGCCCCGCATCGGGCTTGCTGCTGTTAGCACAGAGCCCACTTGGGATCCTGTGTCCCTGGTTCTCTCTGCCCCTCACTGACTCACTCTCTCTCAAAAAATAAATAAACACTTTTTTTAATTAAAAAAAAAAAAGATTGGTGCAATTTAGAACAATATAAAATATACCTCAATTTTTTAAAAAGCCCATATGTACAAATATATATGCATCTACGTGATCTATATTAATTACATGTGACATAAACCCATTAAAAGATAACACTAATTATCTGGAAATTAATCTCAATGAAAATCAATTATTATTATAGCAAGTAGAAGAAAAGTTCTTAGTGCCAAACTCCACAAATAATATAAGGAAAGGTGATCTTGAAGAGTCCTTGAATCATTTTCCCTGCCTTCAGGAAGACGTTAACTATTCCCAAAACTGTTGTCATCTAAAAACCTATCTTGTTTTGAGCATTTTTAACAGAATTCTAAATTGGAAAAAGAAAAAAAATCTTCTAAAATTTTTTTTTAATGTTTATTTATTTTTGAGAGAGACAGAGACAGAATGTGAGTGGGTTAGAAGGAGAGAGAGAGGGAGACACCGAATGTGAAGTAGGCTCCAGGCCCTGAGCTGTCAGCACAGAGCCCGATGTGGGGCCCGCACTCACAAGCTGTGAGATCATGACCTGAGCTGAAGTCGGACGCTCAACCGACTGAGCCACCCATGTGCCCCAAAGAAAAAAAATCTTTTGAGGAAGACTGCTTACATCATGGAGACTGTCCTGATGTAAAAAATAAATAAATTTAATTGATTAAATAAAAAAAAAAAGTCAAGGCCTCCAGTAAGTTTCCCTTCCCACCTGTTTTCTAAAGCACAAGTGAGCTGTGTCAAACCAAATAAACACTGTGCCCATTAAGATCTCTGCATTATTAAATACTTTCTATTGCTACAAGAACGTAACTTGTTTAATAGCAAAAGAGCTTATAAAAAGCAAAATTCAGGAATCAGGGTTGCAATTATTCCACCAATTATCAAATACGCTATCAGTGAAACTGTTGAAAAAAAAAGTATGGCCAAACTATTTCAATAGTTTCTCCAAATATCAAGTATCAAAGAGACTTATCTTTCTTAAATACCAGTAATCTGTAAGTTAAAGGCACGTGCTATCTGTAGTGGAAAAGATTTAAAATTCAGTGTTTTTTGTCAGGTACGAGAACTAAGTTTGCTACGCTGCTGAGAAATGGGCATCATTAATTCACTCAAGGACACAAAAAATTGAACCTCTCTCGTCCTCCTCCAAGACCGTCCAGAGTCCCAGGACACAAGTTGAGCCTACCTTAGAAGCTTGGTGTCCTTGAGAAGATTTCACTTTTTCCAGGTTTGCTAAAGAGAAATGTCTTTAGCCCTGCCAAGCAAGCAGTAAGCCCCCTTGATTGTACCTTAAAGGGAATGAGAATGTTTCGGCTCATTTGCATTTTAAAGGCTACTCTTTCATGATCTTTCACACTTGTAATAGATGTCTAAACCGTTAAATTACTATTTCTTTTCTTAGCCTGAAAGTCGATGCAGACGAAGAGCGTGGCCTCTCCCATTGTTCTTCATCCTGAGTCGTTCCTGAACAATACTGACAGCTGCTATCAAACCGGGCTGCATTTACTCTGTGCGCAGCTGCTGCTTGTAGGAACAGACAGCCTCCCGGAGCCTCCTCCCCTCTGGGGAGACAGGTTGACACACTGCATGTTCAATGAAGGGGTGCAAAGGTCCACTGAATTGTCAACCCAATTTTATGCTACTTCAATTTTCCGGGACGCGCACAATTCCTTTCAAGCAAAAATCAAGCATATGCCAGAGCATGAAACTTACGGTTGCAGGATAATTATTGATCACTACGAACTTTAAAAGAGCCTTCTGACATAAATTAATATACTGAGCCAAAAATTACAATTATAAAAAACTGCACATGCTGGAGACATGCAATTGGCATTAAGTCTTGTGCTAGGCCCAATTCACTGATTTGAGTTATTGTTGCTAGCTATCAGAGCTAATCTGCCTTTATAATCTCAACAACATGTTTCCTGGATGAAAGCCATTCATAAAATTAGCGATTCATCTGCCCTTCTAGAGCAACCTGCTATTTTTATTTTCTGATTCAATTCAAAGTGGGTATTACCTATAAACATCTGGTTAATACAATTTCCTCCTTTCTAATGTGTAGGACTGGGCATTGCCTTTGAGAATTTGTAGGTACGAGGATGATATGTAAAAATTGAGAGACTATCAGAAAACAAACATGTTCCACAAAGTTTAACTGGGTACTTGAGAACTGCTTTGCATATGTTTTTCTTTAATCAAAACAGGCTTTTCCATCCTCATTCATTTGGGTTAAAAAATTTCTGTGCTCAAGCTACAAGTACAATTTGCTATTAGTCTTTGCTAATCAAACACGGTACATGCAAAAGTACCAGCGAATATTTGATTTGATCTCTGAAATAAAGCAATTCATTACACAAGAAAAGGGTACAGAAGGCAGCCGACAAACGCAGATGTAATTGTGTTTTTTGTTGAAATGTGATTAGAGAGCCCACTAAGTAACAGTCAAAAATGTGATCTAAAGGGGGAGAAAGGCAGAGCCTGGGTCTGGGGGAAAGAGGAGGAGGGGAGAATTGTTTATGCAGAGCTAAGCTGTCAAGTGTAATAAAGCAGCTTGAATAAAATTTAAGCTGAAAATCCACTGAAGCTCCCCATTTCGGGGAGGAAAAAGCTATTAAAAGGAAATGAAGGTCACCCTCCCAGTTTATTTCACCTAATTGACTGCCAATAGCTTACCACAGGCAACCCGACTGCAGATCCGCAATTGAGAAACTGATGAAAGGAGAGTTTTCAAGCTGAGGCTCATTCTTTAATCCTCCTTGGCTCTTATGTTTTTTCTCCATCTCCAGTTGGGATGTAATTTTAAACCCTGATGGATTAACTGGTTCCATTGTCTGTGGCCGTCATTGGACTATGGCACTCTTAATCCGTACAGCAGCATGTCTAATTATCATTACAAAGTGTCTGAGGGAACTATAAAGACCAGCAGGGCATCTTCTCACAAGCAATTAACATAAATTGATAAATGAGTGATTTGAATCCGCTCAAGGCAGTCACATATGAATAAAATCAGAAAGGATGGTCCCTTGTTTCAGCTACTTCTCTGGCTTAGTCTGGAAGGGCAGCAAACATGAGAACCGTCCAGGGTCATGCAGTGGCGGGGGAAGGGCTCATGCAGGGGATGGACCGCATGGTTCACTGGGCTCATTAATGCAGAGCAAATGACCTGTGATTGACAAGCAGTCGCCAGCATGGAGTGCTAACTGAACTCAAGGCAGGAGAGCAGAAACCTGGTGAAAGGCTAGAGAGCACTGGGGCAGACAATTATCACTTCTTCAACGGCAAGAGAGCGCTCTTTTCATTGGGGTGCCACTTAAAAATTCATGAAGGAGGCACAAGAAAGGGAAAGAGCAGTTACATTGGGTCTAATACCCTAGATGACCAAAGAAGGGATAATTCTGAGACCTGTCTTGACCTCTCTGTGATCCAAAGGTATAAAAAAAGGTATAAAAAAAGCCAGAAGTAAGGGAAGTATATACAACTCTAACCTGAAGCTCTGATTTAACTAATAGAGCAAGGGTGATTTAAGTGTCAGAGGATACACGGCACTTATGTTCCCATTGAAAAGTAGGTATTTCTTCCCCTCCTCAACATGTTGCTATCACCTTCCTTATGCTCCTCTGTATTTCCCCTACACACCTTGCCATACCTAAGCCCCCCTCCCCCACACTTATCAAACAGGCCAATGTTAAACCACATAACACTATACAGATAGGTAGACAGATTAAGCCATCAAATTAATAAGAAATGAAAGCTGGTTATACACACTGTAGGAGGTAGACCTGGAAGGCCACGTACCCCGATGATGGCATTCAACTCTGCCATGGTCACCTGTTTGGCACGCTCGACGGCCTGGGCCACCTGTTGTTGATGCTTCGAAAACAAAGAGAAGAAAAAGTGTTAGCAAAGAACTTCACTGTACCTTCCAACAACAACAAAAACACAAAGGCACATGCAATGCAGATCAAGGAGAATATGGATTCAAATGTGAAGGTTCTCAAGCACTTACTGCTATTTCACAGAACACAAGTACACAGCAGGAAAAGGAAAACAGAGAAGGGCACTTCGCTATTTCTAACCAACACTAGTCCCCGCTTAACTTCAGATGGGAATTTGGGGCTTGGAATGATAGAAAAGTCAAAAAGGACATCCAAACTGATAACCCGAAGCCTTAGAAAATCAATAGTATGGGATTCGGAAGATCACCCTGGCCTGCAAAAGGGGTTTGTTTTAAGTTTGAACAGATAAAGTTTACAGCTAGTTTAAAACCCCCATTTCTATACTGAAAATTTAAACGTGAAATCTTCGATTACTTCTCTGGCCAACAAATCTCAACCCACCAGCAGTTTTTGGGAACTCTGGGAATTCCTCTCCTTCTTTAGCCTTTAGATTTTTCATCCTCCTGAGGGGAAAACGAAGGACCCCCCTCAACAATTAGTTCACACACTGGAAACCTCCCAACTCCACCCACAAATAAAAACAAAGCCACATCTTTGTTCTGGGAAGCATGAGACTTTAGCAGAAACCAGGATTACTCAAGTCTAACAACATGATGCCAAAGGTTAACAAATCGAACTTGTAACATCAAGTAGATGTTTTAGGCAGGAAAAGGCAGAGGGGTGCTATCCAGCAAGGAGCAGCAGATACCAACATGAACAGACACCCAGTATTCTAGCTGCGGGCCCAAAAAGCTTTTACAGCTTTTCGGTCTCAAGACACATGCATCCTGTACACACTTAAAACAGTGTAGCATTTATCGGCATGTATCCGAAAGTAAACTTGAAGAGTATGAACATCCATCCGCTTCCTCCGTGGACAGCGTGGACAGCGTGAAGTCAACCTGACTTGAGGTAAAAGGACCGACCAATGAGATACCTGCTTTCATGGTCAAGTCAACCCTGATGGAACTATTCTGAAAACGCAGCAAAGGAAAAGCTCTCTAGAGGAAGGACACTTGAATCAGCAGCAGCTACCAGGCTTATATACTACTCGTCAAAGAAAAGAAAAGCTGTTCTGTTTGATCGTCATTTTGCAGTCTTCCACAGGAAAAAAAAAATTAATTTGGGGTTGAGCTATTGTCACCACTTTTACAGTGTGCCCTCAGATCTGTGAGATGGAATAGCAGGGGGTTTACACACTTCAGCTGTAACAGATGTTCTTCACACTTGTTCCTTGTGATAAAATTAACATCTTAAAACTAGCTAATTTGCAAACAGAGAAGCAACATAATTGCACTTTAACAGCTGAACAGTTTTACTTACTTCCTGAGACAGAAATGGAATGACTTGTGCACAAATTGTATTCAATCTCTTGGCGATTTCAGTCTATAAAGACAAAGCCAGATAAATGTTTAGTATACTTCATAATCAGTTCAGAAAGATAAAACTTCATGCCCAACACTTGAGCCCTCCACTACCTCACTCTCAAGGGCATAAAACTGGCTTTTCCCAGCCTGTGCTAATATTTATCTGGAGATAAACAGCAGATATTAATCCCACTTGCAAAGTAAGACATAACCACACGCTTTATTGGTCACTTAAAGAAAAGATAATGGGTAGTTTAATTGAGTTGGGAAATCTGCATGGTTTAAGGCTGTATGATCCTTTAACCTGGTGATTGCCAAGCCCCTTGTACGCTTATTCAATTATGGTGTACCACCACACATTTACACTGTTACAGCAAGTTTATTCCTACTGGTGTCAGAGGCCAGCGGGGCAGGGGCACGGTCAAACACCATCTAGCTTTCAAGACAAAGTCGAGAGCGAGAGAGAAGAAAGGAGCCCACAGACCTTCTTCCTGCTTGTCCCCACTCTTTTTTTGTTTTTTTAATGTTTACTTATTTTTGAGAGAGAGAGACAGAACACAAGCAAGAGAGGAGCAGAGAGAGAGGGAGACACAGAATCTGAAGCAGGCTTCAGGCTCTGAGCTGTCACCACAAAGCCCGACGTGGGGCTCAAACTCATGAACTGTGAGATTGTGACCTGAGCCGAGGTCAGATGCTCAACCCACTGAGCCACCCAGGTGCCCCCTTGCTTGTCCCACCTGTTATACAACTCATATTCGACTTCAACATTAGTAGCCTTCACTGAGTCTCGCTGTCTCAAACAAGCCAAGAAAAACATTGCTGAAACAGAACCCAAGTCCAACATGAGGGTCATATTGAGATGTTCTAGGTATTTGTCAAGTTTGCCCACAATTCAGCATCAAATACAAACACCTCCCTGACAGAGCCCAAGGGTCAGCTGAACATAACAAAATGTGTCCTGAGTGTCTGTGGCACAGACTATTGTAAAGAAAGCGGAAGTCCCTGCCTCGAGTCCAAATCCACAGCAGTCCCTCTGCTCTAAGGAACAAACTGGCCAAGAGAAGAAATAAAGGTGCTCTGCTTCCAGCCTAGGGGAGAATCTACCTGCCCACCCCACCTCCAACATCCTCCAGCATTGCAAAGCAGCTATGCTTTCTTCGAACTCTGAAGAACCAGTTCCGCTTGGAAAAAAAAAAAAAAGTCATCTTAAAAGAGTCCCAGCGTTGACCTTATTTATTTCATCATTTTCTGTCAATGCTTACTAATGCCACCTCTATTACCGAATTAGGCAATGAAAAGGAACATGAGGAGAAGAAAATTATGAAGTGCACAGACCATGCCCTTGAGAAAGCGAGAATGGAATAAGTAAGATGAAGTAGAAAACTCGGGAACTGTGTAATCAAGTACATTAAAAAGAGCTGCCTTTGTCCTCCAAGATGATTCCAGTTAAATGAGCAACAAGGCCTTTGGTTTTATGGGATGGGACTTAGGCCAACCCAACCATTCTCCCTGACCACCAATGAGATAGGGTTACATACAGACCTTGCCTTGGAAGAAAGGGGGAAATGACTAGCACAGAGAGCAAACCCGTGACCTTGCTTTAACCAGCGGGGCAAATAGATCTATGCAAAAAGGCTGAAGCTGTACCAGGTGCAAAAACAGAACTGGGTGAGCCCCACCCAGCTCGTTTGATCACAGCCACACACTCAAGCTAACTCAAGGTCATGGTTCTCCTCGAAAGTATGGGCGGGCTTCCCTTTCTTTCACAACAGGGTTCTGCACTATATGTTTGGGTACGTGTGAAGGAGTAGGGATGCCCTTTGTGGACTTGTAGGTCGTCAGCTTCCACTCCATACATTCCAACAGTATTCTGTATTTTCCCCTTCTCAAAATTTCTCCTAAGATTTTCCACTTTTAGAGATGATATATGCTCACTTTGAGCATACACAGGCACACACACAGCTGTATATACAGAAATAAAAAAGAAAGTTAAAATAACCTTAAGTCTATCATCCATGATTGGTTAACATTTTGGTGATTCTGGAAAGCATCATTCCAGACTTTCATTATATATGTGCACACAAGCCCAGAGGGGAAACAGCTACTTCTACACAAAGAGGTCCCATTATAAACACTGCTTTTCCATAATATGTTATGTCTAGGAAAAAGAAACGTATATGGGTACCTTTCCACTCAATGAATACACATATGACGGGCGCCTGGGGGGCTCAGCCAGTTGAGCATCTGACTCCTGATTTCGGCTCAGGTCATGATCTCACGGTTTGTGTTGGACTCTTCGCTGACAGTTCAGGGGGTGGGGTGGGGGAGTCCTGCTTGGGATTCTCTCTCCCTCTCTCTCTGCCCCTCCCCTGCTTGTATGTGCTCGCTGACACTCTCTCTCTCAAAATAAATAAATGAACTTAAAAAAAAAAAAAAAAAAAGAACACCATCCACTATACAAGCATGCTAGTGTTTAAGCACTCCTGGTATCTGTAGATATTCATACTTCACTTAATTTTCCGTAATTACAAACTCTGTGTGGAATAAAAAGGCATCGCTAGAAGTGAAACTGCTAGGTCAAAGTGTATACATATTTTACATTGTAATGCATGCTGATAAAGTACCCAGCAGAGAAGGTAACAATTTACAGTATCATTGGTCTATGAGGGGGCTTGTTCTCCTACCCAATGTCAATATTGGGTTTTGTTGACCTTTTTAAAATCTTTATCCACCTAGTAGATTTTAAAAAATGACCTTATTTTTATTTGCATTAGATTCTCCCTTAAGTTAAACATCTTTTCATATTATTTATTGATCCACATTATATGTCCTTTTCTCTATTTTTCCTTTGGTGTTTCTTCATCGCTTTTTGTAATACTCCTTTCCATATGACAAATATTGACCCTTTCCCATAGTTTTTCCAGCTTGCCACTTGTCTTTCAACCTTGCTTACTATGGATTTTTTTGCCGTAACTTTAAATTTTTATGTGGTCACAATAAAGAATTTTTTCCTGTGTTCCTGGCTTTCATGCCAGGGTTAGAACACCCCAAAATTATAGAAGCCATTCTTAATTTTCTTCTAGGGCTGTTAATGGAATTTATTTTGTTTAAGAAGATGTAATTTGTAATAATAATTATATGTGTTATTACATAAAATGGCTTTAAGGGAGAACTAAACTTAATTGCCAGGGGACAGTTAAGACTCTGAATGGAATGAACTCACGAACCTCTAATAATATCAAAGTTACTAAACACAAAAGGAGAAAAGTACATATTAAAGCAGAGACAATATAAATTAGGGGAGAGTAGGTAAGAACAAAAACAGAAGAAGGTTAAAGATCAAAGCTCAAACCAATGAAGAAACATCAAAAGCCGTACCATCTGCCCCAGGAATTCGCAATAAATGATCTGGAGAAAGAATGGAAATAAGAAAAACAGAGGAGGTTCTTATCCCAGCTGTCCCCTCCTCTGCCAGGTCTCAAAGCCCTCATCTTAAACTATCCTCGGACATGTGAGCTGGATTTTGAGCCACGAAGCTGAATTCAGATCTCACCTCTGACTTATCGACATTCCTCCAGCTGCCCTGGTTCTCCACAAAGAAAGTACCTACCCTCCCGAGGATGCCACTTGCTTCCCTGATAGCATGCTCTGGGCGTTCTAAAATACCACCCCCCCCCAACCCAGGACGGTTTCATAAACATTCTTCCCAGCCCTTAAATAAAACAGTGTGGATGATAGCATAAAAACTGACAATAATTCTTCAGTATTACCTCTTGCCTGAATGCAAGGATATTCTGATAAGACCTTTCATTTAGCACAAATTAACAAGGTGCAGTTTTCCACTTGTGCTTCTAATTCCTGACCACAGAGTTTGCAAGCAGGTTAAGCTGGACACGTGACCCTGCTTCAGCAGGGATTGAGAAAGTTCTGTGACTCTTTCAAGACTGCCTTCTACGTCTTCCGAGGGCTGGACAACTCCGGGGGGGGGGGGGGGGGGGGGCGTTGAAGGGGGGAAACCTGAAGGCTAACCATATTTTCCACCTAGAAATCCCTCTCCTGCCCAAAGCTGAAGATTATATTCAGTCCCTGTTAATAGTCGTAACACTTATAAATAAACTTTCCCTGTGCTTGTATTTCTGACACCACATAAGGCAACAACATTAAGTCAGCGTTCAAGAGCTTTCCCCAAACCAGATTTGCAAGGAAACTTAGTGCCCAGAAGCTTAACCAGCAGGTGAAAGGCTCCAGTATCAAGCCTTACTTCATGAATAGCTGCCACACTGAAGCAGCAAGCAGGAAGCAGGAATCCAAACTGCCTGTCCAGAAAGATCTTCAATTCTCCTTGTCAATGCCAACTCCCCATACTGATTTGCTCATACCAGGGTTGGCTCTCCTAATCCAAAAACTTGGGTTTGCATCTCAGCAAATGAGTAGGAGGTGTCCTCAGGGAAGTCACTTCAACTGCTGAGCCCCAGGTCTCTGCCAACCTACTTTAGTGTTTCATCAGAATCAAGTGAGCAAATATGTCAACTATAGCTACACTACTACAAAGTGCTATGCTCTTGGGGCACCCAGGTGGCTCAGTTGATTAAGCATCTGACTTCGGCTCAGGTCACGATCTCACAGTTTATGAGTTCAAGCCCTGCATAGGGCTCTCTGCTGTCAGCACAGAACCCGCTTCAGAGCCTCTGTCTTTCTGCCCCTCCCCCACTTGCTCTCTGTCTCTCTCAAAATAAACAAACTTGAAGGAAAAAAAAAAAAAAGACAAAGTGTTAATACTCTTACCCCCACTCTTGAAGGCCTGTCTCAAATCCAGTCAGAAGCCGCCCCATAACACCAAAAACACTTGTCTAGGCCCTTCAAGATCTTCCACAGCATTTACTGCCATTTACCAAACTAAGCCTCTATGTCAATTTATTTTTTAATTTTTTTTTTTAAATTTATTCATTTTTGAGAGACAGAGCATGAGTGGCAGAGGGCCAGAGAGACAGGGGAAACACAGAACCTGGAGCAGGCCCC